CCCCACCCAACCCTCGCAAACCACAGCCGCCTTTCGCCTTCCCCAGCATCCCCCCCCCGGCACCCACGGAGGGTCCCCCCACCCATTCCTGCTCCCTGACTCACGGCACTGCCAGGCACCCTGTCACACCAGTGTGGGGAAAAGTGTGATTTCCCTGCCCCGTTTGCACAACCGTGACCGCAGCTCCCCCCCCATCCTGGGCTGGGAAGGGAAAGAGCAGCAGCGGAGCCGGCGTCGTGCCACGGTGCCAACCTCCGTGCCCTCCACGTGCCTTGGGAGCCACCTGGCATGGAGGGGAGGCAGGGAATACAGTGGGATTTGCCCAGAGTAAAGGGGATGGGGGTTTCTCCTGGTGGGGGGGAATGGATCAACCGCATCTCCCCGAAATGAGAAGGCCAAGGCTTTGCATCAGGCACTCACCGCCCCAAATAATCCCCTCTCCAAAGCACTAATCCCCTGGCAAACACGCGTGCGGTGCCGGGCTATCAGCAGCCTCTCCAGCCACCACTTAGTCACAACTCAACACGCCCCAGGCACCTCTTCCGTGTCGCAGAGGAGTTTCCTCCTGGTCTCCTCCACCGTCTTCTCCGTGGCATTCCCTGCCCACGGCATCCCGCGGGAAAGGGGCTCCGTGGTTCAGCCTCTGAAAGAGGAAAAACAAAAAAAAAGCCCAAGAAAAGCAGGAAAATACACCCCGTGCAGCATCGCGGGGCTTTTCACAGCAATTTTGCCTGGCAAAGCTCTCCAAGCCCCAGCTCTGCACCCAGGACACCCCAGCTCACACACACCGAGCTGGGGCTGCGAAGAACTGGGGGGTTTTCCAGCTCTCAGGTCCCCCCTCCCTCATTAGCAGGGCTTGTAAAAACCCCAAACATCCCAAAAAAGCATCAGGAAGAGGCCACTTAGTCATTTTTACAGCCCATCACAAAAGCACATACAAGGATCATTTAGAAAAAGCTTTACCTTTTGAGGGTTGGGGTTCCCCTTTCTCTTCTGGGGTTGGAGGCTTTTGGATGGAGCCACGGTTGAAGTTTTCCTCCAGCCCCTGCAAAAAGTTATCACCTTTTTAAGGTAAAAACCCAGAATCTAAAGTTTTTCTATACGTGAGGCTTCACTGACAAATTAGTAGGGAGGGGGAAATCACCTGCATCGATGCTACAATTTAATATTAGGCTTCTAAGGGGCTCAAAGGAGGTTTCAAATGGGTCCAGGTAGTGCTGTGTCTCATCAGAAGGATGGACAGACAGACACCCTGTGCCTGGGCAGGGGTTTCTCCCCATTTCAGTGGGGCAGAGACACTGCCCCTGGGGAGGGACCACCCGCTGCCAGAGCCACCCCAGGACGGGGGGCAAAGCATCCCAGCATCCAGGTAAAGATTTGGGGGCCAAGCACATCCCTACTCCCCCCAAACCCATCTCCCATGGGATAACCCTCCTCTCCTCACCCCCCAGCTGGGTCTTGGCAAGAGCCAGCTCCCCCCCCAAGTGTGGTTTTGCGGGGGCTCGGCTGCCCGTTTCCATCACCTTTCCTCCAAACTCCACCTTTTCGTCAACAGCTTTGGTTTCTCCGGGGTAATTTCAGGCCTGGCCCCCGGCCAGCTTTTCAATCCCTGCCGAGGACCAGATAGATCATTTCATTCACCTCCAGGGTACAAACAGAAAGAGGAGGATTTACATACGGCGCTTTCTGCGTCGCCCTCCCCGCTGGCTCCAATGCACGTCATTATCTCAGCTGGCTACATCTGAGCAGGATTAAATGCTTTACACGATATTATCTCCCAGCAAACTGATTACAAGGCTGCCTTTAAAGGTGTAATGTGCTTTTTTTTTTTTTTTTTGTACCAGCTTCCACCACGTGCCAGAAATCAAACAGGAAAATATTACCCCCGGCCTGTGAGAAATCCCAACCCGGTGACACCCCCGAGGATTTTTTGGTTTCATATGGAGGGTTTCAGCTGAAAACTGAGGGCTAAAAGCTTTACAAACCCTCCAAAAGTGTCTAGAAAGAAGGTGAAGAGCGGCTTCTTCCCAGGAGATGCTGGTTGCGAGGGCCAAGGGCTGGTCCCTTCCCTCTCCCTGCCCCAGGGATGGCACAGACAGTTCTCACCTCCTGGTTTTGAAAAGAGGGACCCGTCACCCCAAATCTCCCCTGTGCCCCTTCTTCTTCTTCCCCAAAGAGGCTGCCCTTCCTGGTGGGGAGGGAGCACCTCTGACAAGCCAGGAATAATGAAGCTGGAGAAAAGAAAGGCAGCAGAACAGAGGGAGGAGAAGCAAAGCTCCGGCTTCATGGCATGGAAATAAATCAGTGCAACCTCTGAATTTCCCATTTATTGAAACCAATCACAGTAAAAAGGTCAAATCCATTGGCAAACAGTAGTTTCGTATCATCCAGAGTGACCCACAAATGAAGTACAAATGAAATCCAACCCAAAAAAGAATATTAATAATTAATAATAATAAAAAAAAGAACCAAACAAAAATGCATGGCTCCAGCTTAGTTTATTCAAGGCTGTTCCCTTCAGCTGCCCTTCCTGCAGCACCTCCATCTCTGGTGGGACCGAATGATGCTCCTTGACCCTCCCCATGCTCACATTCCCACTCCCCAAGAGCCTGAGATGCTGGGGGCAGCCCGGGACGATCCAGTTATTGCTGCTGAAGGGTCTCAGGAACCCTTTTTTTCGGGTTCCTAAAGCATCCTGAGCGAAGGGGGAGGTGTGGTTTGCAGCATCCTTCCCACCTGGGTGGTTTGGTCCTCACTGGAGGGTGCAGCAGGGACAGGGAGGGATGGGCAGGACCTGGAAGGGACAAATCCTGCCCGCTCCAGAGCAGCCATCCAACAAGGGATGCTCCAAAAGCAGAGGGCGAAGAGGCAGGTAGACACGGGGTGTGTTTCTGGCTCTTCAGGTGGGATAATTAATTCACCCTGATGACTTATTTCATCCTGATGCTGCTCAGGAAGAGGAGAGCTCCTGGACACCAGGACATCAGGCAGCACATCACAGACATCGTGGACAACCACACCTTGCCTTTTCAAAGAGTTTGTGCTGGAAAACACAAATATTCTTCTTTCCTGTTTTGTTTTGTTTTTTTTTTTTTCCAGAGAAAGCCTGGAGGTATTGGATATGATGCATTGGAACAAAGCTCCGCTTTGGAGAGAAATTTAGGAAAAAAATCACGTTTCCCTCATACAGACACCCCAAGAAAATTCATTTTTATTCGCCTGAACTATTTGCATCCATCCAAACTAACACCCTGGAGCACTCCCAGGGAGCAGGGGGACACAAGAGACCTGCCAGCCCGGACCTGTCACCTCAGCCCCAGTGCCTTCTGCCTGCCCTTCCAAAAATGGGTGGAAATCGAGACTCTGGAAGGAGTTTCCTCCATTCTCCATCCTTTCCACTTAACCCCAGACCAGCTTCAACACGCGACAGTGAATTTCTAATCTTCTACAGAACAAAGACGATCAAAACCCAGAGCGACCCCACAGAGACACCAGCCCAGAGCAGAGGGGACAGCACAGGGTGACCCCCAGAGCAGCCGACGTGTCCCCCAATGACCCCCCCGAGGGGAAAAGAGGAATCTGGTGGCGAAAGGAAACCAGGACCCGCGAGGAACCACCCGTATTTGTGCTTTGAAAACCATCGACATGACATTGGAGGGGAGGAAGAGATATAAAATTAGAGGAAATCAACACCAAACCAGATCCAAAAAAAAAATAATAATATATATACAAAAAAAAAGTCTAGAGGATAAACGCGTGTCCAGTTCCAAACGCCGCCGCACAAATGGCTCTGAAGTCTTCTCCTGGGGGGTGTCGCGCTGCCCTACCCCAGCCCAACATCCAGGGACATCATCACCACAAATCCCAGTATGGATGTCCAGGAAGCCAGCTTCCCGTTGCCACTGCAGGGAGAAAAGAGGCCGGTGTCAGCTCCTGGGCACCAGGACCAGCTTTTGGGATTAGGGAAGAGCTGCTTTATACCCCATCCAGGCAAGGGAAGGGATCTTCTGGAGTCCTCTGCGCTTCCCCCTGTGTCTACTGGAATTTACTGGTGGTCACCGAGGGTCTCACCTGGTCTGTGCCTCAGGGATGATGTCGTCCATCACCACGTAGACCATGGCTCCGGCGGCAAAGCCCAAGGCATAAGGGAGGAGAGGTTCTGCCACCATCACGGCGAAGGCACCGAAGATGCCGGCTAAAGGCTCCACCATCCCACTCAGCTGCCCGTACCTGTGAAAAATTGAGATTAAAAGCTACCGGGGACCCGGGGCGAAGGGTGGAACAGCCCTCCTGGGGGGTGCCAGGGCTCTGCAGCCCCCCATCCCCATCATCCTCCCAAAGGGCACCGTGTCCAGGAGGAGGTTGGCCACCTGGCCATGCCAAGCCAAGCCACTTGGATTATTTAAACAGGCAACGAAGGTGATTTTATCCTAACCTAGGTGATTTATATGTATTTTCAGTCCCTCAAGGGGCTCCAGGAGAGATGGGGAGGGACTCTGGATCAGGGAGGGGAGCCATAGGAGGAGGGGAAATGGTTTTAACCTGAAAGAGGGGAGGTTAAATGGGATTTTAGGAAGAACTTGTTTGGTGTGAGGGTGGTGAGAGCCTGGCCCAGGTTTCCCAGAGAAGCTGTGGCTGCCCCATCCCTGGAGGGGTTCAAGGCCAGGTTGAAGGGGGCTTGGAGCAACCTGGTCTGGTGGGAGGTGTCCCTGCCCAGGGCAGGGGATGGAATGAGATGATCTTAAGGTCCCTTCCAACCCAAACCATTCTGTGATTCTATTTTTCCAGGAAGGGAATTAAGGCACCATCCGATTCCTTTCCCCAGGAGCTCTGTGGGATTTGGGGATCCAGCTCATGGGCAGGGATGAGTCAGGGCGGAAATATTTAGACTAAAACTAAGGAAGAAAATTTTTATGACAAGAGTGGTGACACTGGCCCAGGTTGCCCAGAGAGATGGTGGCAATTTTTATGACAAGAGTGGTGACACTGGCCAAGGTTGCCCAGAGAGGAGGTGGTTACCCCATCCCTGGAAACACTCCAGGCCAGGATGGACGGGGCTCTGAGCAACCTGATGGAGTAGAAGATGTCCCTGCCCATAGCGGGGGGTTGGACTAGGTGGCCTTTGAATGTCCCTTCCAACCCAAACCATTCTGTGATGCTGTCACCATTTACAACCAGCACAGCTCAATCCCAAGGAGGACACCTGGCCACAGCCTCATCCACGATGAAATTCTGCTCTTCCCCCTCCTTTTCTTCCCCCCGGTGCAAGTTCCAGCACCGGCTGCACTTACGGAACGGGAGGTGGGTGGGAGGAAAAGAAAACAAAGCTTTGGGGGGAGAGGTTTCCACGCCAGCCCCCCCTGCCCTCCCATCCATCACCCGCCCCAGCACACGTGCACGGGCAGGAACGCAGCCCCGCGCTCCCGGAGTTCATGCCCTTGGCTTTTTCACCTCAAGGGAAAAAAGGAAAAGAAAAAATAATACTAATAATAATAAAAAAAGAAGTGGATTTGAAATCCAGCCCAGAGTGAAGTGAGAAAAAAATGAAATAAAATAATAATTATATTAAAAAAAACCCTGTTTAGTACAGGATCTGGGAACTCGCCACAAGGGCTCAGCTGAAGTGGGATGGGGTGACCCACGGGGACATCCCACGGGCAGCTCAGTGATGGGGCAAAGTGACCAGAGAGGGGGAGGAAATCTATGGGCACCCACTGGTGAGGAAGGGCTGGCCAAGGGGGTCCTGTGCCTGGGGGCAGAGGGGAGCTGGGCTTACCAGAACGCTTTCCACGTGGAAAATCCAGCGCCGCGCAAAGGCAGGCTGACGGCCAGACCCTCCGGGAAATTCTGAATCCCAATCCCGATTGCTAAGTTCCTACAGGAAAAAAAAACAAACACAAAAATGTTAGGTGCAAAGCTGGGAGCGCTAGGAATTAAAAAAAAAAAAAAAAAAAAGACATTATTAATGATCTGCCTTTGGAATAGGAGTGCAGCTAGCCCCGGGGCTACTCGTGCTAATATTTAACGTGAACACGGCAAACTTCATCTTCAAAGAGCTCCACGGCATTTCATCAGCGTCAGCACCAGCCCTGGGAGCGACAGGGAGCAGATGGAGGAGGAGAGACCTGTCCTGGGAGGCCCCATGAGGTGTTTCCCACCCAAGGCTCCTCAGGAGCCCCAGCATCCCTGGACCCTGGGCTTTGGGGCAGCCCCAGCTTCATGGAGCCCCAGAAGGTTGGGATTTCTCCCTCCCAGGACAGCTGGTCCCTCTCCTGTGACCTGCCCCAGCTCTCACCAACACCGTCCTCAACCATAACCCCCCTGCAGGAGCCTTACAGCCGTGGGGCTCCTCAGAAGATGATAAACCACAAGATTTCACTTTCTCTTTTTTTTTTTCCCCTCTGGCACCCCATGGAAAGGCAGCACTTGGACGTCCAGAGCTGGTCTGTCCACCAGGAAAGTGGCACAGGAGGAGGAGGTGGCTATGAGGACCATTTCTCCAGGCACAGGAGATGAAACTCCTGGTGAAGGGTGTCCATCAGGCAGACAGGGTGGCCTTGAACCCCCTTCCAAGCCAAGTCCCATGTCCCCAGGGGCAGAAAACACAACTCATAGAGCTGACAGCCACGGGAAAGACCTCAGAGGTGCAAAGGGATGTTCCAGGGCAGGTTTTTTTGGTGAAAACCAGGAAATTGGGAGGTGGGGTTTTTTTCATTCGCTCAAGGACCAGAAACGTTGCAAAGACCAAACCAAAAGGGGCTCGTTTTTTTATGGGGTGGGCTTCTCTGGCTGAGCGAACCTGAGGGCGAACGATCCCTCCTTCCCCACTTGGAGCCTTTGGTGGCTCTGCTGGTGGACCCAGTTGTGGCCCATCCCTGGGGGGACACCGAGAGCGTGACCATCCCCAGGGGGGAGCTCAAAGCTCCAGCTGGGCTGTGACTTGCCCCCGGCTCCGAGCCGGACCCCGGCGCCTCTCCACGAGGTCAGTTCTTCCTTTGCCAGCAGCCGAAAGCTCCCTTTGCTCCTTTAAACACTTGTTTCCTATTAGTAAAATAAGACTGGTGAGAAAAACCTCTCCGGGTTGTTTAAACTTCTACCAGGGTTTACAGAGAGGGGAGGGGAAGGGGGAGAGGCTGTGGGTTTCCCTGACCGGGACAGGCTATTACAATCAAAAACATTATTCAAGGGAAAGAGAGAGAGAGAACGGAGGGGGGAAAAACATCCCTTTTAGAAAACACTGGAGCCGCTGTCTCTGCGCTGGGGTGGTGGTTTTTTTTTCTCTCCCCCCCTCCTTCCCTCGCCGTCGCACAAAGCAGCTATTACTGGCCCCGACCACAACAAATTAACGGGGTGGGAGAGGGAGGTGTGAATGGAGGGGTCTGGAGGGGAAGGGAGAGGAGCCCCCCCCTCATCCCCGATCCTGCCGGGAAGGGGGGAACCCCACGCTGACCCCTTGCCCTGCATCAGCCCGAGGGGCAGAGGGAAAGGGATTTTATCCCAGAGAAAGATCCATTGGGAGAAGCCCAGATGGGTGGGTTTGTCCTGGTTCCCCTCCTGCCCTCCTTCCCTCCCACCCACACCCCTGGCAAAACCCATCGGGGCTCCCCAAAAGCAAGAACCAACCCCAACCCCATCGCCTGGGCCACCAGCATCCACGCTCCATGGGATGGATCAACAGCAGGGAGGCAGCAACGTGTGTCCCTGGTCACGAAAGGGATTTTATCCCGGGAAAAGATCTGGCGGGAGAAGCCCAGATGGGTGGGTTGGTGCTGGTTCCCCTCCTGCCCTCCCTCCCTCCCACCTACACCCCTGGCAAAACCCATTGGGGCTCCCCAAAAGCAAGAACCGACCCCAACCCCATCGCCTGGGCCACCAGCATCCACACTCCATGGGATGGGTCAACAGCAGGGAGGCAGCAATGTGTGTCCCTGGTCACCTCTTGGCCTCCTGTCCCTCCACTGCCCCACAAAGGTCTTCTGCTCGCCCAGCCCCTAGGACCTCTCCTTCCTCCAACCCTTCCTCCCGCCTGAACAACTCTTGGGCTTTGGGGCCTTTCGAGCGTCCCCTTCCCAGGGACACTAATGTCATCAGGGTGAGGACGACTCCGTGACACCGTGGAGGCCGGGAACACGTCAGCCTTCCTATTTGCTTTGCCTTGGTTCACTGCACGGAGGCCACCTCTGTTTGCCCAACGCAGCGTCTCGGGAGATGTCCGGGTGCGAAGGCAAAGCACATTTACCTCCGATGCCCCAACTGTGAAATAAAACCATCCCCCGGGACGTTCCTCTCCCCCCCCCCCCCGTCGCCGCCGAGCCCCACACACCTCACACCTTCTCCACAGCTCCCGTGTGGAGCTGACGGCAACGGGGCTGGAGAGAAAGGGAGGGAATCAAAGCTGCATTGTGTACCGGGAAAACAAAGGCCTCCTTATTACGGAAATAGGTGGGGATTCTTGGAAGGCTTCCCCCGACTGCAAAGAAGCACATTGTAAAACAGATGCACAAAGAGAGACCAGAGCAGCCTGGGCCAGGGAGAGATGAAGCTCCGGAGCCAGGGGGAGATGAAGCTCCGGGGCCACAGGGAGATGAAGCTCCGGGTGCCCAGGGTGGGCTATGGGACACAGAGGGGACGATGATGGGGACACGAGCCAAGGTAGCCAGGGGGATGGTCATCAGAATGAAATGTTTGGAGACATCAAGGGCTCTGAGGCAAGGAAGGTGGGGAATAACGGACAGAGAAGTGTCAAGCAGGTCCCAGCTGGTCTGACGGGTCACCAGTGTCACCAGGCAGAAGACACAGTGCAGAGGAGGATGATAACCAGGGGCTCAGCCCCAACCTACAGACGGGCACCGACGGAAAGAGAGAGCAGCCCAGAGGAAACCACACCAGATTCTGCCCAGGGATGTGCATGTCCCATTAGTGGCTCTGCCACCAGCACCCTGAGGTGGCAATGTCACTCAGGTGTCTCTGTGCTTGGGCACAGAGGACTCAGGTTGCCCATCGAGGACCAGAGACCCAACACCCGTTGGACAGGTTACCTTGCCCAGCTCTGCCTCAACTTCCCCGTCTGCAAAAAGGCAGCGAGGACAGAGATGTCCTCCATAACCTTCTCGATCCGGGAACACCAACACCACTAGGACACGTGCCATCTACAGGAGAGCTCTGCGATGCTGGGATGGGTCTGCCCTTGCATCGGCTCATCCTCTTCTGCAGCAGAGCCCAGTGTTATGGTTTTAAGGAAGAAAAGATAAAACCGTGGCATCCTGGCAGAGCTCCACCGAGGACCAGCTCCTCATGGTGAGAAGGAAAGACTCCGCGTCCCCCAGGAACGTACCGGGGCTGGACCTCCTACCCCCAGCTCGCCTGCCAACTGCAATGGCACCACGCTGGGAGACTCCAAGTTCACTTTCAAAAAAAAGTTGGCATCTCTGCATATTTGCAAGGTCAAGGCACAGAAAGCCTTCTATAAGCCTAAACCCTTGTTTTCAAGGGCCTATTCTTTTACAAACTGATTATGAAAGCAGGCTACATATTCTTAACAAGCCCCTTTTCACTACGGCTTTCAATTCCCTCCAGTGTATAATGTGCATGTGTATTCTTGCATGGCAGGCCCTTACATACTGTTTTGATTGTTATCGTCTTGCCATGAAAGGGCCGATTGTTTTGGGTTCCCAAGATTACATCATGGCTCCCAACTCGGGCCGCCCCGTCGAGGTGTTTGATCAGGGCTGGCAGGTGGGAAGGAGCTCAGCGGGGCCCTCGGCGTTTCCCCATACCTGCCCTACCTGTTCCACACAGCTGCCAGCACGCTCTGCCCCAGCTTTACTGGGGGCTGTCACGCAAGGAGGTGGCCAGGGAGCTACAGGGGGGGAAGAAGGGGTGGCCACTGTCCCCCCCCAGCCAGCCCCGATGGCCACCAGACCATGCTTCAGTCCTCAAGAAGAGCCCGACCCACCTTTAAAATCCACATTTTAAAGGCCAAATCTACAAAGGCAGGTGGGAGGATGTCACTCCCGCAGATTTGTCCTTCGATAACGCAGTATCTTTCATCTCAAACACTCAAAACCATTAAAAGGAAAAAAAAAAAAAAAAGGGAAAAAAACCCAACGGAGTAGGGGGGAGAAGCAATATGAAGACAAAAGCCCTAAACTATTCCTGTACTTTTTTTCCAAGAAAACACATTAAACATGCTATTATCACAACTATTATTCCAGCGTCTCAGAGACTCCCTTCTCTATAATCTACAGGTGTTTTATTAAACTGTGATGTATACAGCTCAATGAGATAACAAATCTATGCAAGCAATATATGAATGATAGTAAAAGACAAAGTAAAATATCTCCTGTGAGAAGGTAGCTTAAATAACTTACTTATTCAGTAGCTTTCATGTGAAACATATTAACCAGACAGACACTAAAAATGAAGGGTACTTATGACTGAGACAACACAAAATTCAGTGTCATGGATATAGCAGCATAAGTACCACCTTTTTTCATAGTTTTTACAGCATGATTGAAACTAAGTTTACATAGAGCCATCAATTTGAGAATCTAGATCAAATTTCATTTACATAAGTAGGCTCCAAGTAACCTAAAGCTAAATGCAAACAGTAGTGTTATCTGTAGTTTGTCCTGTGATAAATAGGAGAAAATCCCAATAGGAAAAAAGGCCTGTATCCCCCCCCAGCTGCTTGCCCCTTTTGGCCCCACTCCTCGGTAGCCACTTCCTTGCCCCTTCCCATCCCTTCCCAGTCTGTGGCTGGGCTCCTCGGCGGCGTGTGGCCGGGGCTGTGTCACATCTGCTCTCCTGGCCCCCCGCCAGCCTCCAACACACCCCGCTCCGCACCCGCACGCCGTAAACATTTACAATTTTAGG